AACCCACTGCGCCACAGCGCCGGCCCCCTCTCCCTCTCTTTCTAACTCTGCCTTTTAAATAAATAAAATCTGTTAAAAATGATTTTTAAAAGTAAAGATATATTCATACAATGGAATATCATTCAGCAATAAAAAGAAATGCTACAAAATGGATAGACCTCTAAGACATTATAAATGCTAAATAAACGAAGTGTGCAACAGGCAACTAGTGTAGAAGTTAAGTTACTAGATGGGACTACTGCATCTCCTATCAGAGTGCCTGGTTTGAGTCCTGGCTCCTCCAAAGCTTCTGATCCAGCTCCCAGCTAATGTACCCTAGAGGCAGCAGTACTTGGGCCCCTGCCATCCACGTGGGAGACCCAGATGAAATTTAGGGCTCTTGGCTTCAGTCTGGCCCAGCCCTAGCTGTTGGGTGTATTTGGGGAATAAGCCAGTAGATGGAATATATCTGCCTCTCTGCCTTTCAAATAAAATGCATAAAAAATTAAATAAATGAAGTAAGTTACAGGTGAGTCCATACTGTATGATTCTTTTTATATGAAATATCCAGAAAGGATATAAAAGATAACAGGTTAAGCCACCACTTGTGACACAGACTTCCCATATCAGAGTGCCTCACTCTCTGAAGCTCTGCATTTAAAAAAAATTATTTAAGGAATACAAATTTCATGTATACAGATTTTTTTTAAGTTTTTTGACTGGCAGAGTGGACAGTGAGAGAGAGAGACAGAGAGAAAGGTCTTCCTTTTGCCGTTGGTTCACCCTCTAATGGCCATTACAGCTGGCGCGCTGCGGCCGGCGCACCAGGCTGATCCAAAACCAGGAGCCAAGTGCTTCTCCTGGTCTCCCCTGCGGGTGCAGGGCCCAAACACTTGGGCCATCCACCACTGCACTCCCGGGCCACAGCAGAGAGCTGGCCTGGAAGAGGGGCAACTGGGACAGAATCCGGCGCCCCGACCGGGACTAGAACCCGGTATGCCGGTGCCGCAGGTGGAGGATTAGCCTATTGAGCTGCGGCGCTGGCCAGAGATTTTTTTTTTTTAATTTAGTTGAAAGAGTTACACAGAAAGAGAAGGAGAGGCAGAGAGAAGTCTTCCATCTGCTGGTTCACTCCCCAGTTGGCCACAACAGCCAGAGCTGCGCTGATCCGAAGCCAGGAGCCAGGAGCTTCTTCTGGGTCTCCCACGTGGGTGCAGGGGCCCGAGCACTTGGGCCATCTTCTACTGCTTTCCCAGGCCATAGCAGAGAGCTGGATCCGAAGTGGAGCAGCCGGGTCTCATGAACCGTTGCTGGCGCTTCAGGCCAGGGCGTTAACCCGCTGCACCACAGTGCCAGCCCCTCAAGTATACAGATATAGGGATAGTGATACTTCCCACCCTGCACTCACTCCCTCCCATACTCTCACCCTTCCTCCTCCTTCCTCTCCTATTCCCTCTCTTAATTTTTACAATGATCTACTTTTCAGTTTACTTTATACTCATAAGGTTAACCCTACACTAAGTAAAAAGTTCAACAAATAGTATGAAGAAAAAAAAAGTGGTCCTCAACAGTAGAGACAAGGGCTATAAACAATCATTGGAACTCAAAATGTCAATTTCAGTCCTATATATTACATTTTTTGTATTAGTCACCACAGATTAGGAGAAACAAAACATGGTATTTGTTTTTTGGGACTGATTTCACTAAATACAATGGTTTCTAGTTACATCCATTTTGCTGCGAAAAACAGGATTTCATTCTTTTTACTGAGTAGTACTGTATATATACTAGGTTGATTCCATATCTTAGCTATTATGGATTGAACTGCAATAAACATGAAGTTACAGGTAACTCTTTTCATATGCTGATTTCATTTCCCAAGGGTAAATTCCCTGGAGTGGGATTGCTGTCATATGGTATTTTTATGGTATTTTTAGCTTTCTGAAGTATCTCCATACTGTCTTCCACAGTGGGTAGTGTACTACTTTACATTCCCACCAACAGTGGATTAGGGTACCTTTATCCCCACATCCTCACCAGCATTTATTGTTTGTTGATTTCTATATCAGACATTCTAACTGGGGTGAGGTAAAACCTCATTGTGGTTTTGATTTATATTTCAAATAAAGATTTGTGGTTGTCTAGGACTGGAGATAGAATAACATTCATTAACCACCTGAAGCATCTTTGGGATGACAGAAATGTTCTAGAACTGGATTTTGGTGATGACTGCAGAATTCAGGAACTATACTAAAATTCATTGTTATAAACTTTAAGTAGGTGAATTTTTTATTTTAATTTTTAATTATTTTTTTTTGACAGGCAGAGTGGACAGTGAGAGAGAGAGACAGAGAGAAAGGTCTTCCTTTGCCGTTGGTTCACCTTCCAATGGCCGCCGCGGCCACCGTGCTGATCCGATGGCAGGAGCCAGGAGCCAGGTGCTTTTCCAGGTCTCCCATGGGGTGCAGGGCCCAAGCACCTGGGCCATCCTCCACTGCACTCCCGGGCCACAGCAGAGAGCTGGCCTGGAAGAGGGGCAACCGGGACAGAATCCGGCGCCCCGACCGGGACTAGAACCCGATGTGCCGGCGCCGCTAGGCGGAGGATTAGCCTAGTGAGCCGCGGCGCCGGCCCAAATTTTTTTAAAGATTTATTTATTTATTTGAAAGTCAGAGTTACACAGAGAGAGGAGAGGCAGAGAGAGGTCTTCCATCCACTGATTCATTGCCCAAATTGCCACAACAGCTGGAACAGTGCCGATCTGAAGCCAGGAGCCTGAAGCTTCTTCCGAGTCTCCCACGTGGGTGCAGGGGCCCAAGGACTTGGGCCATCTTCCACTGCTTTCCCAGGCCACAGTAGAGAGCTGGATGGGAAGTGGAGCAGCCAGGTCTCGAACCAGTGCCCATATGGGATGCCGGCACTGCAGGTGGCAGCCTTACCCGCTACGCCACAGAACCAGCCCATTTAATTAGTTTTTAACAAGATTCAATATGCACATACATTATACCTAAATAAAGCTGTATTTTTTTAAAAAAGAAAAAAAAAGCTTTTGCTCTTCCTTACTAGTACATTTAATAGTGTACCAACAGGGGCTGGTGCTGTGGTGCAGGTCAATTCTCCACCTGTGGCACCAGCGTCCATATGGGTGCCAGGTCTAGTCCTTGCTGCTCCTCTTTGGATCCAGCTCTCTGCTATGGCCTGGGAAAGCAGTAGATGACCCAAGCACTTGGGCCCCTGTACCCACGTGGGAGACCCAGAAGAAGCTCCTGGCTCCTGGCTTCAGATCAGCTCGTTCTGTTTCGGCCATCTGGGGAGTGAACCAGCGGATGAAAGACCTTCCTTTCTCTCCCTCTCAGTTGGTAACTCTATCTCTCAAATACATAAAATCTTTAATGCCTGTAACACAATAGGAACTTAATATATATTTATATATTTATTGAATGTAGCTCAAGTGAGAAAAATTCCTGCGGAGAATTAACCTGTCATTAGTGAGAACCCAGAAATGAAACGAAATCCTGGGAATGAATAGATGGAGGGCAGGAATGAGGGAATCGATGTTACTAGGGTGGACAGTTCCCTACCCTGATTATCTCGTGCAGAAAAACAAATGCAGTTACACATGGTGGCAATATGATGATTATGGTTCTTTTATCCTTTGCAAGTTGAGGAGTATACTCAGAAATCACATGAAACAAAGGCAGGGGGAATTACTTTGATTTTTAGAAAGCAACAGACCCAGTAAAATCAGAAAAAAGTTTATTAACATTCATTACAAATAATTTAAAAGTGGTATCAGCAAGTTGGTCTTCAGATAAATTCTTTTTAAATATAAAAATCAAGAAGTCAGTGTATACTCAGGACTATCAAATCAGTGTAATTCAAAAAGGATTCCTACTCTTTTAGACTTGGAGAAGACACCTCCATTATTAAAGAAAATGTGTTTGCCTAAACTAAACTCAGGCTTACATTTGGGGATTTTTGAGGCAAAAGGGGAGCAAGGGCCCAATTAAATAAAAAAAATCTCTTATTGTCAGTAGCTGTACAGAAAGTTCCCAGAGACAACGCCATAGGTGGCAGCCATGTTTCTAGCCCCTTTGAACCATGGAACACCCTGCAACTGGAGAACACTTGAGCAATAGATGCTTTCATTTGGCTGCTGTGGGAGAATTCATCCACAGGCCCATACACAAGCTGACTCCCAGTCAGCATGCTACCATAATGCTAGCCACAAAGTGCTACTGTGCCTTAGTTGAGAAGGTCACCCACCCCCCTCTTCCAGTTAATGCACTATTCATACAGAATCTCTGTCACCCCCACAGGAAGCCCTGGGTCACACACCAAGAAAACAGATACAATACAATGAATCTGAAAATAGATGGCATACACTGGAAATCCATCCTGAGCCCTCTATAGCTATAGACATTGAATGGGTTAGAAAGACACCAACAATGAACTGTCTGAAGCGGAGATGTGATGATGAAAGTAAGAACAAAACACCTGAGTCCATGTGGAAGCAAAGGAGGGAGAGTAGGACTAACAACCTTTTATCTTCTATCAATATTCAGTATCTGCTTGACCCCAGGTTCCAGATTCTCCAACACTAAGATGGTCAGATTTATCAAATAAAACTACGGGGTACCCTGTTAAATTTGAATTTCAAATAAACAGTAATTTTTTTAGTGTTAAGTATGTCCCAAATATTGCATAGTACATACTTATGCTAAACTATCTGCTTATTTGAGATTCAAATTTAACAGGAGATTGTGTATTTGATCTGTCAACCCAACCCTGTTCAGGAAGTTCCATTAGCTCAAGGAGACTCTGACCAAGATAGCTTGTCAAACAGGAACAGGAAGCGAAGCACAAACATTTCCCCCACTTTTAACTCCATTCCTCCAGCTATCAAAATCCAATGCTGTTTGGCAGTGTGGGAGACTGTGCACACGGTGGAGTTAGCAACCACTGCCTGCCAGGTAAAGTCAGTTTTCTTTCCATAGCAAAAAAAAAAAAAAAAAAAGGTGAAAAATACAACTGGGCAGGATAAGAAGCAGGCCCATTGGGAGACTTGAATCTGACTCAGGACAAGTTGGATCACACCAGCAAAACCTGAAAGTTCTATATAACCACAAGAGGGACAGCCTCAGGGTCTGCAGATCTGGCTCCAATGTATTCTAACTCTCTTGGAACAACTAGAAGACTGCAAAAGGCAAACGGTTCCAAATAAACAGATGTACTGAGAGGGGAAGGACAGGGAGCAAGCAAGGCAGCCTTTAGAGACCCAGAACAGCCAGGGGCAGAAATGAAGAAGTCTCAGAGGGAAGTCCAGCACTCTGACAAGGACTGGAAGGACACTGTGTTTTTGTTTTATTTAGGGACCCTCCAGTGGTCTATCACTAAAGCAGAAAGTGATAGAAAGGTAAGGGGGCCTCAGAGGAGACTCACGCAGCCGTTTGGGGAGAGTGGTAATTCCCCATCACCCATAGTGCTACCAAAATCTGCTAGCAGTTCTCATGGTCAGATGCTAAACTCATCTCTTGAAGCAAAAGAACCAGTAACAATCCATAGCTGATAAACATCTGTCTAAAAAGTACGAAGAGGGAAATATCAAAAAGAACAGGACTGCATTATGTTTTTTGTTCTTTTTCCAAGCTCCTTTTTGAGAATTCCTAGTTCCCATTAACTCAGCTTATCTGAAACTGCGTTACCAGAAGCATTAACAGGTGTTTCATGGGACCAAAAAAAGTTTAGTAGTGAGATTAGTTTGTGTACATAGGAAGTTCTAAAGTCCTGCTACATAAAGGAACCTGTTCAATTTTATTTAAATTGCTGGTTCCTGAACTTAATTAGACCACAGAACCCTTTTTAGAGAACAATGGTTAACATCTCATGGAAGTTGAGAAAATGCTGTTCATTTGTGAAAATATCTCAAGAATGGGAGGCACATGTCAACATTGGGAACATGCAAAAGTCACACATAAACTACTTTTCAAAAACTGTATCAGAAAGTAATGATTTGAAAACTGGATAAACTTGTCCTTCTGTGAGGCCTTTGTTCAATGGTAAATACAGCAAGGAAAGCTGAAATTACATTTCAAAGCAGACAAGTAAAAGCCTACAAAGAACAGTAATAGGCTGTTCTGTTTAGGCATGAAAGTGGTGTCTCCTCTTACCAGTTTGACACTGGAGACAGACACGCGCGTGCGCACACACATACTTCCTCCAAAAAGTTCATGCCAAAACTCCAAAGTGGCAGTGTACAAACTAGTCTGTCTGTGTTATTCCAAAAGCGGAATAACCCTGGGGTCTAGGGTTTCTAGAGGAAGAGACAAATGGCTCATGCTGGCACTTTTAATTGCTGTCACAGGAATCTTATTCCTTAGGTGCAGTTCCTAGTAGCACCCCAAAGCTATAAAAGGACACACTTCTTGGTGTTCTTCTTTGTGGCAGGGTAAAGCACAGCCCGGACAGCTTCTGAAAATACTTCATGTACCCCATCCTGCATCAGGGCTGAACATTCCAGATACTTCACAGCCCCCACCTGCTTAGCCAGGGAAGTGCCTTGTTGAGGTGTTGTGGGCAGCAGGCTCTGTGCCTTCAGTTTTGTCACTGTCTCCAGGTCACTGCGCAGGTCTCTTTTGGTGCCTACCAGCAGAACAGGTACATTAGGGCAATGATGGGAGACCTCTGGGTGCCACTTATGCCTCACATTGGCATAAGATGATGGATTGCCAATGGAAAAACAAATCACAAAGATATTAGTCTGGGGGTAGGAGAGCGTTCGCAGTCGGTCGTATTCCTCTTGGCCAGCGGTGTCCCACAGATTCAGGCTGACGATTTGGCCATCCACACAGGTCTGGGCACTATAGTTGTCAAAGACAGTGGGGATATACTCCTCAGGAAAGGCATTGGTTGTGTAACTGATGAGAAGGCAGGTCTTACCTACAGCCCCATCTCCTACAACCACACATTTGATTGTCTGCATTCTTCCCTCGTAGTCCTATATATAAAAGAGAAAGAATGTTCAGATGGATTTGGGAGCCAATGCTTTATAAACATTTCTCTCTGAGGAGAAAGGGAAATGAGACAAACACACACTCCCACTCACTCTCTGTCCCCTTAACCCATACAAGAGTCAGCTGGGGGGCTGGCGCTGTGGCGTAGTGGGTGAAGCCGCCACCTGCAGTGCTGGCATCCCATATGGGTGCCAATTCGATCCAGCTCTCTGCTACGGCCTGGGAAAGCAGTAGAAGATGGCCCAAGTCCTTGGGCCCTGTACCTGCATGGAAGACCCAGAAGACCTTGGCTGCTGGCTTCAGATTGGCACAGCTCCGCCCGTTGCAGCCAACTGGGGAGTGAACCAGCAGTTGGAAGACCCCTTTCTCTCCCTCTCCGCACCCCCCCATCTCTGTTTAACTCTTTCAAGTAAATAAATAAATAAATCTTTAAAAAAAAAAGAGTCAGCTGGGACAGGTTGTAGAGGGCAAGAGTTCTTACCCTGGAGTCTACAGACTGCTAAAGAATGAGCTTCAGTAGTTCCTAAAAGCGGGCATAGGTTGTATAAAATATTACATTTATGTGCATAAGAGCATTTTTCTGGTAAGAAGATCCGAAGTTGCCATCAGATTGTGAGAGAAGGCCGTGAGCCCAAAAAGATTAAAAACCATTCATATACATGGTATGTACATTATTGTCATAAGGTCTGTGTATACTGTATCCAAGATGCTAAAATATTGTGCTCAATAAATGGTAATAAATTTTAAAAATTGGTACACAAACAAGGTTTCCGGTGTTGAAACAAGCAAGGCTATAACTTTGTGTCTCTGGCTATAGGCTTGGCAAAATAAACCCTCCAGAGGGGCCTGTATTACTTAGGTAAAAACACCACTTGTGATGCCAGCATTCCATATGGGCACCAGTTTGTGTCCCCTGGCTGCTCTACTCTGGTCCAGATCCCTGCTGATGACCCAATCGCTTGGGCACCTGCCACCCACATGGAAGTTCCAGGTGAATCTCTTGGCTCCTGGCTTCATCCTGGCCCACCCCCAGCCCTTATAGCAATTTGGGGAATGAACCAGTGGATAGAAGATTGATTCTCTCTCTCTCTCTTTCTCGGTCTCTCCCTCTCTGTAACTCTGACTTCTAAATAAATAAATCTTTAGAAAACAATTAAAAAATAAATGAACCCTCCATTCCTGAAAAACAGTGACATAATAAAGAAGACAAAGGTAGACAAGTCAAATTCTACCATATAGAGAAGTGGTTAAAAGTCAAGGATCGGGGCAGGTGCTGTAGTGTGTGGTGCAGTGGGTTAAGCTGCCAACTGCAGTGCCAGTATCCGATATGGGCACCGTTTTGAGTCCCTGCTGCTCTATTTCTGATCCAGCTCTCTGCTATGGCCTGGGAAAGCAGAAGATGGCCCAAGTCCTTGGGCTTCTGCACCCACGTAGGAGACCTAGAAGAACCTTCTGGCTCCTGGCTTCAGAATGGCACAGCTCTGGCCATTGCAGCCATTTGGGGAGTGAACCAGCAGATGGAAGACCTCTCTCTCTGCCTCTCCAATTAAATAAATAAGTATCTAAAAAAAAGACGGAACACCTTGTAAAACCAGAGGCAGAGGCTTAACCTACTATGCCACAGCACCGGTCCCTATTATGTCTTCTTAATATATTCTTCCACTATTCTACTGGGGAAGGCAAACATCCTGTATTACAGTCTCAGTGCTAAACAAACAGGCTCTCATCCCCTCCTACCTTATCTGAGTAAAACTAAAGTTGTAACACCACCATACTCTTATCCCTTTCTTCATGAATCAAGTATTTCAGGGTAAATGACATGACAGAGATGATCTCTCAAGAAACATGTTTACTTTAATACTCTGCCCTACTCTCAATTTAGGCTGCAAAGTACTCCAATTTCTTTAGATTCTTAACTAATGCTTTCATTTCAGACCCCATCCAAAGCATTAACTTCTTTGAATGTCAGAACATGGAGGAAAGGGGGTAAACAGTCATAGGTATTGGTTATAGGAAAAAAATGAGAATTTTTCATCCTAGGAACCTAGGGGAATAGATAACATCCCCCATCCTGTTGTCTTATTAGCTAAGATCTACATTAGGTCCATATCCTAGGCAGCACAGTAATAATCGCCTCATTTTGGGTGAGGGTCAAGAAAAGCTGGCTTTCAGAGTATGCCTCACACAAGCCCACTAGGGGTAGCTGTCTCCCCACACACAGCCATTCTGACCCTAGAAGCTGCCTTTAAAGCCTCCACTTAGAAGTCGCCAGCACAGGTTCCACAGCTAAAAGAAGTCCGGAGAATAATTAAGCTCTAGTAGGCAGCCGATGGAATTCAATGCCCATCAGCTGTATCTTTTTCCCTCTAGAAATAGACATACTGATTAAACACACAGGTTGAGGGAAACAGGGCAAAGTCACCAGCATATGCCTTGAGAAGAGCTTTCCTTGACCTTCCCAGTCTGGATTAATTTCTTTCCCCCTAAGAATTCCTGTAGTAAATGACTGCCTATGCACCTCTGGAGAGCATCCAGGATCCAACACCTCTGCTCAGAGGGACCGCTTTCAGGACAACAGAGCCACTCAGGGAGTTGCTCATCCAGAGTAAAACTCTTGGACACAAAGACTGCTTTGCACCCCAAGCTCAGCTCCTCCTGTCTCTAAAACCAGGTAAAAGCATCTACATTCATTTCTACTTTTTAATATCTAGCAATGCTCCTGGAATGTACTGTCTGTAGATAGTGGGCACTCAGGCACTGATGGTGGAGGGCCTACGTGCTGAAGTGCAGCCTCACAGTCCAGGTCTAAGAGAAAACCCTAGGGCAGTATCAGTTTCCTACAAACATCCTCACTCCCAGCACACTCCTGTGAAAGGGTGGGCCAGCAAAACTCACAGGTATTTGGGGGTGGTGGCTGCTCTGCACAAGTATTTGTTCAGCCCACATATTCATGTGTTGTGTGTATGTTTGGATTCTTCATAGTTAAAAAGGGCTCAAAATTGAGGGCTCTGAGAGTTAGCAAAAGACAGGTATTTGAGGTTGCTCATGACCAATGTGAGAAAAGCTTGTATGAATTGGCTCAAGCATCTGGCACGATGCTGTCCTTATTAAAGATCACCCATAGCATTCCCTCCTTAGCGTCACCAATCTCTACTCTCTCTCCCAGATGCCATGCTGGCAGTGTGCTGTTAGAAGGAATTTTTTAAAGGATTTCAAAAAAAATTTTTTTTTCCGACAGGCAGAGTTAAACAGTGAGAAAGAGACAGAAAGGTCTTCTTTGGTTCACCCCCCAAATGGCCGCTACAGCCGGCCCAGCCGATCTGACTCCAGGATCCAGGTGCTTCCTCCTGGTCTCCCATGTGGGTGCAGGGTCCAAGGACTTGGGCCATTTTCTACTGCTTTCCCAGGCCACAGCAGAGAGCTGGCCTGGAAGAGGGGAAACCGGGACAGAATCCGGCGCCCCGACCGGGACTAGAACCCGGTGTGCCGGTGCCGCAAGGCGGAGGATTAGCCTAGTGAGCCGCGGCGCCGGCTAGATCTTTGTTTTTCATATAAAAATAAATAAATAAAACTTCAAAGTACAACAAGAGAAAAATAATGGTCAAAGTGGAAATCAGTGGAGAGCAGAAAACAAGAGGAAACTCAGAGAACCAGATACGCATTGTATACCAATGTAGGTGTTTATTAAGATTTTCTTTGTTAATTTGAAGAGGAAGAGTTGCAGACAGTGAAAGAGACAGAAAGGTATTCCTTTCCGGTGTTTCACTCCCCAAATG